AAAGATATCCTCCATTCCTGGATAGGCAGAACCAACATTATCAAAGAGGCCATTCCCCCCAAACTTAAATACACATTTAATGCAATCCCAATTCAAACACTAACAACATTCCTCACAGAGAGAGAGGGAGGGGAAGAAAAAAAAAGTCCTAAAATTCATACGAAACCAGAAGAGACTCTGAATAGCAAAAATAATCTTGTGTAATGAGAACTATGGTGGACTGAGTCAACCTGTAATACTAGCAGAACACAATCAACATGGTGCTGAGTATGGGTGGCCAATCTGAGGACTGTTGCCAAGGTAAAAAGGAGAACTCAAAAGAAGCAGTAGTGTTGTTGGTTCTCCTGTTGCTGTTGTGCTTCCTGGAAGAGCTTGTCAAGCTTCTTTCCTGATATGAACTTCACTGTTATCGTCAGAGGAGCTCAAGATCTTGTTGTTACTGAGAATGGCTGTGGTTCAATTTAGGGAAACTCTGGTCCTTACTTTGAGCAGTGCTTCCTATCTCCTGAGGGAAAGATGTGTGCTCTTCAGTCTCCTGGAGAAGCTTGTCATGCTGGCTTTCTGATATGAACTCAGCTGTTCTCATCAGAGAAGCTCAGAACCTCATTGTTGCTAAGGATGGCTATGTTATTTTCTGGGGAGCTCTGATTCTTTTTGAGAGGCACTTTCTGGCTCCAGTACAGAACCCTTAGCCTACTAGCACTTTCTTTTTTTTTGGGGGGGGGGGGTGGTACCAGGGATTGAACGCACAACTGTGCACTTGCAAGGCAGGCATTTATGCTGCTGAGCTAAAACCCCTATGAAACAGTTTATGAGTCATTTTCATGGGCTCTAGGCCTCCAGCTAGATTCATCAGGGCATTGTCATGGGCTCTAGGTCTTGAGCTGGATTCGTAGAAGACATTGCTGTGGGATCCAGGCCCTCAACTGGATTCCTTGGGTCTTAGTGTATGGATACATATCCTGTACTTCTTGTATTTAACTCTTTGGGTGATTATTATAAAATAATTCTGTAAATTATATGTCCCATGTGTAATTGTTTTCCTTCCAAACCCTTGACTACAACAGAGCAAAGAAGAAGGCATCATAATCCTGGATTTCTGGGGCCAGGGATTTACCTCAGTGGCATGAGTGCCTGCCTGGCAAGCGTGAGGTCATGAGTTCAATCCCTTATACAAGAAAGAAAGAAAGAAAGAAAGAAAGAAAGAAAGAAAGAAAGAGAGAGAGAAAGAAAGTGAATACAAATTTCTCAGAAGAAAGTAAAAACTAAATATATGAAAATATGTTCAACATCACTGGCCTATAGAGAAAAAAAATTAAAATAACACTGAGAGTCTATCTTACTCCCAAGAAAATGGCAATTGCCAAGAAATCTAATAGTATCAAATACTGGTGAGGCTGCAGAGAAAAAGAAACCTTTCTATACTGTTGGTGGGGATGTAAACTGGCACAACCTTTATGGAAAATAACTATGGCAATTCCTCAAAAAACTAAAGTAGACATTTCATTTTGCTCATTTATCCCCTTCTAGGTATCTGCCTAAAAGAGCTATAGACATCATACCCAATGATACATGTATGTCCATATTTATAGCAGCACAATTAGTAAGAGTTAAATCTTGGGGACAGTCTCCATATCTATCAACAGATGAATGGATAAAGAAAATATGGTACTTACACATAATGGAGTAATACTTTGCCACAAAGAAGAATAAAATTGAGTCATTTGTAGGAAAATGAATGTGCCTTGATTCCATAGTGTTAAATGAAATAAATTGGACATACCAGTTTAAATATTACATGTTTTCTCTTACATGAGAAACCCAAGTTATAAATAATTTTAAAAACAAAACCAAAAGATAATAGGAAACAGGAAGGCAGAGCTATTGCATGTGGGAAAGGGACTAAGATGGAGAGAAGGTATAGTGAGGGAAGGGAATATTTTTTAAACATCAAGATTTGTTAAGTACATGTACCTACTCCCTAATATGAATGGACACATTATTTACTGCAAAAATGTACTAATATAAATAATAAATAAATGAAAAACAAAATGCTGGGCTATATATACAACAAAAGAAATGAAAGACTTACATTATAAGCTACAAAACATTGTTAAATATAATTCAAAAAACTCTAAAAGGAAATTTTTCGAAAAGGACATTCCATGTCCATATAGCAGAAGGCTTACTATTGTTAAGATGGCTATACTACTCACATTTATCTACAGACTTAATGCAACCCCTATCAAAATATGTGATACTTTTACCAAAAAGAGATAAACTAATTCTAAAATTTATGTGGAATGCAAATAGAATCCAAAAACAAAATTGAAATATACTTTCTGATCTCAAAATTTACTACAAACCTACAGGAATCAAGACAGTATGGTTCTGGACTTCAGAGAACATGGCAGACAGATAGCAGCAGCTATGGAGGCTCTCTGAAAGACCCAGCTTAGAATTCAGGAATGGTGTGGAGTAAGGAATCATAAGCAAGAGGAGATATGCCCTGCTGACCCAAGAATGAACTGGGCTGAGAGAAACCAACTGGGAATGCAATCCTGGTGCTATAATAGGAACAGAAAAGCCTCAGTGTGGAAACTGGAGCCCGTGCCATTGGAAGCTGTGATTTGGGTTTCCCACTGCCGCTGCTGTGTCTACATCATGGGCTTGGCAGGGAGAGAGATGCGCGAAAGCTCTGAAAACGGGAATTGGTGAACGGAGTTGAAAGTAGGACAGGCAGGGAGCTGTGCATTGACCTGCGGTGAGTGAGAGAAACTGGGACTCTTCCACGGTCTAGGAGACTCCAACAGAGGACATTCTGGGACTGGGCAGATATGCAGGAACAGGGTGCTGCAGTGACTTCAGTCATGTATCCCCTCTCAAGCAGGATTGGTGAGCAGTGCCTAGCCTACGTGATGCTGCTGGCTGAGACCCAGTAGGCTAGCACAACCCAGGTCCCAGCACCTGAAGGTAGATTGACCTGAAGGGGCGGCCCCGCATAGGCTGCCTGGTCTGCAACTTCCTGGTGCACTGCGGTGGGTGGGAACACTTAGCTGGCGCAATTCAATCAGACTGTGGCTAACAGGGAAGGAAGCTGGGCCTCCTATATACGCTTGCATATGTAAAGAACAAAGAATATGGGAAGAGGCAGCAACAAGAAAGGCTCCTCAGCCCCCAATCCTGAGAAAGAGGCAATAGCAGACACAGCACCAATAGATATAAAGCACTATCTCAAGAGCCTCATAGACAAGTTCAGGAATGAAGTTATTAATGGCCTGAAGCTAGACATAAGCAGGAGAGTTAGAGAATGCTAAGCACCACCCAAGAAAAAACAGATGGTGGAATGGAAGAACAGAAAAAGAGGGGAGAATTGTTTAATGGAGAAAATAGAGAAAGCATAGAATACGTGAAGCAGGTTCAAAGAGATTACCAGGAAACTAAAAACTCTATCGAAAACTGGCATAACAGTTTGAAAGAAACTAAGGACAGATTATCTGAACTGGAGGGTAGATTTGTAATGTGGGAGCATGAAATGAAAAACTTATTAAAAATAACAAAGAAACAAACAGCAATAATACAAAGATTAAAAGATGATAAGAGGATCTATAACTTAAGAATTAAGAACATAAAAGAAGAAGTAGGGACACAAACAAATGAACTACAAAAGCTACTCACAGAAATAATCCAGGAGAATTTTCCTAATTTAGCAAAAGGTAAAGATACTCAGTTGTATGAGGCATACAGGACCCAGCCACCTACAACCCAAACAGAGCAACACCCAGGCATATAATAATTAAAATTCCAGAAATCCAATACAAGAACAGAATATTAAAAGCCGTCAGAGACAAGAAACAGATCACTTACAAGGGAACACCCATCAGAATTACAGCAGACTTCTCGGCACAAACCATCAAATCATGAAGAGTGTGGGGGGAAATAATTCAAGCTTTGAAAGATAATAATCTCTAGCCAAGATTGATATATCCTGCACAACTATCCCTGGAAATTGATGGAAAAACAAGGTGCTTCCAGGATAAAGAGGAACTAGGGGAATATGCAACCACCAATTCAACTCTACAGAGAATACTGCAGGATATTCTAAAAAAGAAAAATACGAAGAATCCAGAAACAGTGGCAGAGAGGCCACAATGAATGGAGCAGAAAACAAAATGAAGAAGACAAATTGACAACTAATGACAGAAAAAGAGCTCAACAGAAATGAGGCAGAGAAGATTGGATGATAGGAACAGCTATTTTGGAGAAAATGACATCTTAATAGGTAATACTGATTTAGTATCGTCTTGTTTTGAAGTCTCATCAAGCTTTTGTTCTGTCTCCATTGGTCTAAACAGGTTGTATCTTATTGGATTTTATTATATATGATAGTATAAGCAAAAACTTTTATAGACAAGGAGATTATACAGAAACCATTGTTCATTTTCTGTTAGTCGATTCTAAATACCCTGTAATACTGTCATTCTCTTAAATGGTTTTACATTGTTTTGATATATTTGATGCTACAGTATACAAAGTTATATTCAAAGATTTCAAGGAAAGAGACAATATGGTAACTACTTTTATGTCGGGATTATCTTGTGGTGAAACACTATTTTGCTTAAATGGTTATGTTTTGATCTGCGCTGTTTTGCTGTTATGCCCTCTTTTATCTCAATCTCCACTTTGTTATTTACTTTTTTATTTTTATCCTTTTAATTAAGGGAAAAATAAATAAAAAATGACAGGATATATTATAGTAACCCACTTTGACTTTCCATTATCTTGATTTAAAGCCCTGTATTGCTCTCACCATCTTGTTTTGACTGATGTTCTATTCTGTTTTGCTTGATAGTACCAGGTTCGAAAGTTTGGGCAACAGCTGTGAAGATAGTGGGATTCATTATGACGCCCATTCTGGTTGACTATTATCTACTTTTGAAGACCTATAATGTCTCCAATGTTTTGGTTTTGTTGGTTTTTTTCTTTACTGTTTTGTTCAATTTTATTATAACTGATGATATAGGCAATTATATTAGAGATAGTGGGAGGCATTATGGTAACCATTGTTGATCACCTTGTATTATGCTTTTACATTATCTATTATGTCCACCCTTTTGATTTAACTGACTCTGTTCTGATCTGTCACATTTGGTTCTACTCTCTTCCAAAAAAGTAATAAGAACTGTGGGAGCAACAAAACCCAAAATGTGTAATTGTCATTGTACACAAGAGAGGAAAAGAAAGTGCTCTACACGAAATAACTGCATGTATATTTAAGGGTATAAGATAGATAATGATATTACTGAGTTTTGTTGGATCATTGAACAGAACTGTTTGCAGTCTCACTGTTGGAATGTCCACTTTATAAGCTTTAATTTTGTAACTTGAACAATTATTTCTAAGATATGTAATCCATTAACTAGTGATTTCCTACTGTTTATTTTTTTCTGTAAATCTGTACAACTTGTACCCTTTCTCCGCTTTTTTTTTCTTTTTCTCCTTAAATAAAATTAAAAAAAAAAAAGACAGCATGGTTCCACTTTAAGTGCAGACATACAGATCAATGGAATAGAATTGAGCTTAAAATTAACATTTTCATATATGTTCGATAGATTTTCAACAAGAGTGCTAAAAATTCAGTGGAGAAAGGAATAGTTACAGCACATAATACTGGCATAAACTGGATATCCACTAAAGGAACAAAATTGGACCTTTTATACAGTATGTAAAAGAATTAAAATGTAGCATATGCCCACAATAACAGGTAAAACTATAAAACTCTTACAAGTAAACAGAGAAGTAAATATTTGTGACTTTCATTTAGGCAATCGTTTCTTAATTATAAGATCAAAAACACAAGTACAACATTTTTGCAATACATTATATCACCCAAGAAGATAAAAAACGACAAACCATCCAAGGGAGAAGTCACATATCTAATGAGAGACTTAGATCTAGAATATATAAAGAATAATTTAAATTCAGTAATAAAAAAAGAATCTAATTTTAAAATGACAAAGGAGTTTGAAGAGTCTTTTCTCCAAAGATATGCAAATGATCAAAGGACCAGAAAGATATTCAACATCACTAGTCGTTAGGGAAATAGACATTAAAACCAAAACAGATACTGTTTTGCATCTACTGGTATGACTATTATTAAACAAACAGACAATAAGCATTGTAAAAGATGTAGAGAAATTGGAATTTTCATGTACTGTTGGTGGAAATATTAAATGATCAACTGCTTTGGAAAACAGTTTGGTAGTTCCTCAAAATGTTAAACACAGTTATTATATGATCCAGAAATTTCATTCCTAGATATACCTAAAATAAAGAAAAATATATATCTAACAAAACATTGTATTTTAGTATACATTCTACAGCACCATTATTAGCCCAATGTTGGAAACAACTCAAGCGCTCATCAACTGAAGAGACAGATAAAATGGAATATTGTTTGTCATATAACAGCATTATTTGCCAGTAAGAAGAAATGAAATACTGATGTGTGCTGCAACATACATGACTCTTTAAAATATAAGTGAAAGAAGTCAGACTCAAAAGACCTCATATTATATGGTTTCATTTTTATTACATGTCAAAAATAGTCAAATCTATAGAGACAGAAAACAAATTAGTGGTTGTCTAGAGCTGGTGGATTGGGAACGAGAATAACAAGGGACTATTAATAGGCACAAGATTTCTTTTAATCCTAAAATTAAATTGTGGAAATGTTTGCAAAGCCTTATGAGTATACTAAAAACACTGAATTATGTGCTTTAAATGGGTGAATTATTCCTCAAGAAATATGGTGAAGAAAATCTCCAGGTTCCTTAAACTATCGGTAGTGATGCAGATGATGAGGGTTGGGGGTCGGAAAAGGGCAATGACAAACTTAAACCAAACCAAACCAAACTACTTACTCTGTTTCAGTCTGTTCCCAGAAAAGAGGGACTCATTACGCATTTTAAAGCAACACCAAGAGTTGTTGCCTACATTAGGAAATTCCACTTTAAAGGAATAAAGGTAACACAAATCCTGAAGCTTTGGAAGTTAGGCATAATCTTATGCAAGCACTCAGAACTATTGTTACCACTTGCAGAACATGTTTTTCACCTCTATTTACTTTAAACCATGGCATGGCTTAGAAATAATTGAAATTTCCACATCCTACAACTAAGAGCAGTTTCTAATTATTACTTGGCTGCTCATATAAATCCTAAGTAAATCTACAGAGTTTCTTTTCCTAGTACAGCATAAATAAGTGTAAGTAATTGCCATGTCTGATTTACCTATGATTTTAAGCAGTTGAAAGTAAATACTGAAAATAGTTGTTAGCTATCCAAGTTTGAATAGCTCTTTGCCTAAAAGAAAGAATACATATCTTTACATTTAGGAATGACTAAATCAAAGCAGATTACTGCCTTGTACTGATTTCCTTACATTTAATGGTATTCAATTTTAACTGTCCTATTTTATATAAATTTCCATTACAAATGTTCTTGGATTAATTTTGGATGTAAGTGCCAATAAGAGGTAAACAATTAGATGGGAAAAAGAATACAGAAGTCCTCAACGAATAAGTGAAGCTAAATTTACTTCATATATGAGACCATGAGATTAACAATAGGAATAAATATGAGAATGAAACTTTTCAGAGCAATATCTTTTATGTACTTAGGATGGAAACAAAAACCCTGCTAGTCAAACAAGTTTTTGAAAAGGTCAATCATTTAGCACTTTGTAATAGGCCAGTGGTAAGATAATACAAATTTAGCTTGGTCAGAGTCCTAGACAGTGTGATGTGTATGAAATTCTTTCTCCTCTGCTCAGTGAATTTTTCCCACAATGAAACCTTGGTATAGCAGCATCACCATCAATAGCCTCCAGGACTCCAGTGAATTTCCTTTCTGAATTCACGCTGAGGAAGCTTAACACAATGAAATCAATTCAGGATTAAGAATTAGATTTTATTTCCTCCCCACAGTTTCCTATTAGTTCTAAGAAACTGTTATGACTATCCCCCAGAACTTACTAATAAATTTGCTTGCTATATTTTGTCCATTCCAGGGCTCATATGTTGGAGGCTTGGTCCCCAGTGTGGCAGTGTTAAAGTGATGCAACTTTTAAGAGGTAGGGCTTGCCCCCCCCCCCCAGTCCTGGCCTTGCCCACAGCAGAAGACATGTCCTCGAGGCCTCACTGCCATCAGGGGTGCATCCGTGAACTGCTGTCCCACCCCTATCTACCACCCTGGAAACCTCAGGACCGGATGAACCCAGGTGCCTAGCCCAATCCCCTGCACTGCGGGATGGGCAGTCAGTGCAGGAAGAGCCCTGAACTCAGTAACCACCTGACTTGGAGGAACACAGGAAAATGTCAAGACAAAGGAGCAGGGTGCAATCTCAGACCTAGAGCCCGTGCAGAGCAAGCCCATAAGACATAGACACAAAAGAGATTAGGAGTCACACACCTGAAATTTCTGAAATGATAGCAACTGAAGTAGAAACAACTTAGTGCTTTTATTGTTTAACTCCGCATACTTGTATCTGGTAGTCTGAGCAACTACTTAGAGGATAACAAAGAGCAATGCAGTAACTATTGTTGATTTTCTGTCTCATTTTTGAAATCCAATATTGTTCTCATTGTTTCGTTTTGTTTCATTATATTACTTTGTTTTGTTTTAGTCTCTTTAAAATTTAAAAAATAAAAGAGGTGGGGCTTAGTGCAAGGTAATTAGGTCACTGGAAGTGCTTCCCTCAGAAGGGTGTGAAGTAGTTCTTGTAAGACCCCAGTTAATTTCCATGAGAAGTATTTTTTTAAAAGAAGAATCCCAGCCTCTCTCCACTCTTTGGTGTCTTCTCTCACCCTTTTATCTGACCTTCTCTTTTGTACTCCCACCATGACAGCATCTGCCATGCTGCAGTGAAGCCGTAAGAACCTCAGAGTGCCAGCAGATATTGCTTCCATGCTGTTTGGCCCCTATAAAATTGAGCTCAATCAATAAACTTCCTTCCTTGAAATGTACTCAGCATTTGGTATTTTGTTACAGAAATGGAAAATAAACTAAGATACTGCTTTTCAGAGTTTCTCCATTTGACAAATAAGCTTCAGAAGATAACTTTCAGGAAAGGTATTTTTTTCGCTTTCCAAGTGACCATGTATACACATTTAACAATTAACTCTTGCCTATATTTTTAGCTTCTGAGCACTTTTCTGCAGTTTGAGGCAAAAGAGATATAGCAGAAGATGAAATCAAAAGAGTCCAAGTCTAAATTCAATTCAATACATCATTGCTAGTCTTAAATGTAGAAGCCCATGTACAAGGACCAAAGTGATGCCTTTAGGAGCAAAAATAAGTCATTGTTTACACAAGCAAAGAGACAAGGACTTTGATCCTACAAATGCAAGAAAAAGATTCCTATTTATTTTAATGCAAAAATGAGAAGGAAAATAACTGCAGAAAAAGTGCTCAGGTAAAAGGAATGCTTTGAAGGAAAAAGAAAAAATACATCCTTCAAGCAGAATGGACCACTGAAAGAACAAGAGGGCAGTGGCACAAAGTTAACTGCTGCCATCTTTTATATCTTATTTGATATCAGGTGCCACACTCAGCGTGCTGTCATTTCAGAAGATTGGTGTTGGGTGTAGGGTTCAGCTTGATCTTGTGTCATGCTCAGAATCTCTTTGTCCATAAGTACAACTCTCTTCAATTTGCAGGTCATGCCCAATTGCTCCAGCATGTTGCCAAGCCCTAGTCTCCTATTTCATTCTGATATACAGAATTATGAGGCAATACATGCATGTTGTGTGGTGGTGGTGGTAGTTGTTGTTTTGTTTGGGTTTTTTTGTTGTTGTCACTGTTTGGTTTTTGCAGTACTGAGGACTGAATGTAAGTTTCCATGCTTACTAGGCAAGCACTGTACTCCTGGGTTATATCCCCATACCTGTTTTAACTTTGTTTTGTTTTGTCTTATTTTAATATAGTCTTACTATGTTGTCTAGTCTCACTATGTTGCTTTGAATTTACAATCCCCTTATTCAGTCTCCCTATTATCTGGGATTATAGGTGTGCACCATCGTGCCAAGCTAAGTTTGTGTTAAGTCTCTACACTGAATTTGTTATAGCAGCAATAGAAAACTAATTTTACAAACAGACATGTATATAGAGTACCAAATAACAAGTGTTGTGTCAAATATATGCTGTATACTACCTCACTCATTCTCTTTTTTTGTCTTTTTCATTTTTTATCGGTACCGGGGATCGAACTCACGACCGCCTGCTTGCAAGGCAGGTGCTTATGCCGCTGAGCTAAACCCCCAGCCCCACTCATTCTCTTTATTATTCCATTCCTAAAGTTGAAGAATGAAGAAGCCTACTTACAGGTCCAAGTCACCCTGCTGGCCTTCCTCACTCATACCAGGATAGGAGTCCAATAATTTCCATGTGACTCCAGAATCCTTGACCATCACTATAAAATGGCCAACTATTGCTATTCACTAATAAAGGACCCAATTTTAAACACATATACGCGTAAAAATTTTCTGAAAGAAAATAATGCAAAATGTTCATAGTAGTATGTTTGGATAGTGCGTTTATTTACTTATTGTTACTTTGTTATACTTCCTTCTAGGATAGCCCCTCCTGGACCTCCTCATAGTCCAGTGGAGTTTATACTTGTAATCCCACGGAATAGTTATTGGAATTCCAATAAGTAATTTTAATCTACCACTTCCAGTGCAATCCACAACAAGAATAAAAACACCAAAGCATATTTGCAGTTGTGGGGAATCAAGGGGCTTCTAAGTCTAGTTAGAATAATGGCTAACTATAATAAAGGCCTCAACCCAGGGCCAAACCTGAGTTTTTTTAATTTGTGAAGAGGGGAGTAGCTCAGGGATGAATAAATGAGAGAAGGTGGGAAGTACCTAAGTAAGTACATACACGAGTGCTGTGAGCTGGGCTAAATAAGAGGCCTTATAGCACCTCTAAAATTTGCAGAGAAAGAGATACATGCAGAAAGAGTAATCTGCATAACACAGTTTGAGGGAATATCTAATGTTTTGGAGTTAGTGCTCCAGCTTTGATGTATAATCTTCACTCTCTGAGATGTCATAGATTCTTTCTCAATCCTCAGTCTCAGCCAGCTACATAGCCTAGTTCATGCATACTACTTGGGAGCTACAGGCAGGGCATCACTGACCTGTGGCATTGTTTTAAAGACTACATATCAGCACCTCCCCCTAGAGCCATTTGCAATGAGAGGATTAAGAAATATCCTAGCCAGCTCTGTACATATCAATACACAGAAATGGGGCCAGGCTTAGCCCAAATGGAGACAACTGTTCTTCTTTCAAAGCTTAGCCATCCTAGTGGTCTCCACACTTTTAGGCCTTCCTTATAGGATATGTGACTCAAGTGACGTGAAAGGAAGTCTACTGGGGTTTTTCAGAGAATATTGCTTTTCTACTCTAATAACAGTGACAGAAACAGTCTATAAATTCCATATTATTGTGCACAATAATTATTTCCTTGTTTCTCTTAAGTAAATTGTTTTCTCATGGAAAAATCAACCATATATAATGCTTGCATTTTCCAGGTTTGGCCTGTATGCTATCCTTGTTGATGAGGTTTTTGAATTTGATTTCTAAGATACATTTTTGAAAACTTTTGCTAGACTTTTCAAAATGTTTATCTGAGATTCAATAAAATTAACCAAGCCAAGGCAAGGGCCTAAAAATAGGGGCATCTATAGCAGGGCATTTATTTTATCTAGTAAAATCTTAGACATCCTAAGAGGAAAATGTCATCTCGTCTTCTTTTTAAACAGTACTGAAAGCAGAAACCACGACTGTACTTGGCTGGGTTTCTGAAGATGAATGGGCTATCTAAATAGATAGACAATATGTGTAATGTCTTTGTCAGTTTCAAATTCCTTTCTATTCTACCACTCCCCTTCAAATAGAAAATACTTATTTCATTGGATTACTTTGAAGGACTATTACTATAACTAGAAAAAAATCTCTTTAGATGAAGATGACACTTACTGATAAATGTTTCACATGTCTGCTGATTATTTGAACAGAAAATTCTTCTTTAGGCCTAGCAAGGAGGCACATGACACATGCCTATAATCTCAACTACAAAGAGGTTGAGGCAGGAAGATCACAAGTTTTTAGCCAGCCTACACAAATTAACCAGATACTATCTCAAAATAAAATTTTAAGAGGACTTGAGGTATAGCTTAGTGATACAGTACTCGTCTAGCATGTTTAAGATTCTGGGTCCAATCAGAGAGGGAAGATTTTCTTTTAGAATAGTTTTCATTAGTACATGTTTATACTACATAATGTTTATATTCCTTATGTGGTTAGTATATATGTAACACATTTTAATTTCTTTTTTCCTTTCCTTTCCCTTCCCTCCTGAGAGAATTTGTCATCACTGCAGGAGTACCAGTATTGAGACCCAAGACTTCTTCAGATAGAATCATTCCATGGGTGATCTAATCATGTCCTATAACCTTAAATGCCATACCCAGACTGATTTATCCTACCCCAACCTTTACCATAAGCTTCAGACAAATATATAGCACATTCAACATCAATTAATTCAAAGTTCATAAACTCTTAGTTTCATGGAATCCTCTCCAACTGTCTTCCCCAACTTACTGAATATTACCATTCTTTCAAAAATCTGACTCTTCTCTCTTACTCCATAGTCAGGAAACCATCAGTGTCCCAAACACTCTACTTCCAACATATGTATAGAACCTGACCACTTCTCACTATTTCCATCTCCAATGCAGTAGCCACTTCTAACATTGTTGAAACAAATTACCACAAACCAAGTGACTTCAAACGACTAACATATATTATGGCTTTCTAATTCAGAAGTCAGCAGTGGGTCTTATTATGTTAAACTAAGATGTTGACAGACCTGTATCTGGAGGCTCAATTTTCTGGTTTTGACTAGCTTCTAGAGGCCACCACATTCTATGCCTAATTACCCTCTCAAGTTGTTATCACCTTACATTGCTCTGACCTCCCTTCCACCATCTTCTCATATTTAAGGACACTTTTATGTTAGATGCACCCAGAAATCCAGAATAATCTTCATATGTTTAAGGTCAGCTAATTAGCAGCTTTAATTTCATCTGCTACCTGGGCAATTCCCTCTTGCCAAGTAAAATTCATGGAGATGAGAACCTTGATTTGTTTGGCAAGGAATGGGAGGTACATTATTCTGATTATTCTGCCTGCTATGACCACTCTGTTAAAATTTCTGAATTTTTTGTTTGTTTGTTTTGGTACCAGGAATCAAACTGATGACTTTGCGCTTGCCAGGCAGGTGCTTATGCCATTGAGTTAAACCCCTGGCAGAATTTCTGAATTTTAATTACCAAATCATCTGACAGTCTCCACATGGGTTTCTCTGCTTCCACCCTTGCTTCTTTATGTCTCCCCTATTACAGTTTTCCCAAAGAAACCAGATTACTTCACATAAAATTAAAGTATGACCATGTAGCTCAGTGGTAGAGCACTTGCTTAGCATGCAAAAGGTCCTGGTCCAATCCCCAGCAATAAAAATGTAATGATAATATCAATAATAATTAAATGGAGTCATGTAACCCTAATACTTTAATTACTTCCCAAAGTTTATTACAAAGCCAAAGTACGCAACAGAGCCTAAAAGGGTCCTGCTAATGCTTCCCTCAATGTCTCCCATCTTCCTACCCTTCATTCAGCTCATCACACCAGTTTTCTTGCTGTTCACTAAATCAGGCAACCTTTCACTCCCTTTATACTCCTTGTACCTGGCGCACTACTTGCTCAGATATCCATAAGACTTATTCCCAAACTTCTTCGGGTCTTTGCTCAAATGTCACCTTGCCAGAGAATGCTTGCCTAACTATATCACCCTATCTAAAATACCATCCCCTACAATAAATTATCTATCTGCTACAAATTGGATGTTTGTGTCCCCAATTCTATGTGTTGAAGTCCTAACTCTCAATATGATGTTATTTGGAGGTGGAGCCTTTTCAAAGTAATTAAGTTTAGAAGAAACCATAAGTGTAGAAACACCATAATGGGGTTAGTGCCCTAATAGGAAGGCTAAAATTATCTGTGTCTCAGCTGTGTATCCAGCAAGAAAGTGGTCATCTGCAGACCAGAAAGATGAACCTCGTTAGCCAGCACCTTGCTCTTGGTTTTTGGCCTCAAAAACTATTAGAAATAACTATGTGTTGCTTAAACTACCAGTCTATTTTGTTATAGCAGCTCAAGCTGACTAAGACATTACCTTCACTCTTCATTTTCTTCTTAGTACTTGTGTACTTGCTTAGTACTTAGTTCTTTCCAAAAGAAACTATGTGTTTTGATCTTTCACTGTTTTCTTAGCATCTGTATACTGAGATTTTCAGTAACATTCAGTAAAAATCAGTTGAATGAATAAACAGAATATTTTTTAACTTTACTACTGCTGCCTAATGTATACTGGTTTTGGTGTCATTAATTCAAAACAGCTTTCTCCTCCCAAGAAATGAAAGTTACTAAATTGTTGATTACGAACATAAAAATCATAGAGCTATAAGGTGAAAGGCAATTTGTTTAAACTGAAGCATAAGATATAGAGAAAAAAACTTATAAATACATTTTAAACTTTGTGGTTATTTAACTAATTCATTATGAGAATACTAATTGAGGAATGGGAAGCAAAGGCTTTTGATAAGGCCACTATTTTTCAAGACAGGGTAGAGTTTTGCTTGTCTGTTTTCATTTTCTGTTTTTTCTAATCCTGAGCTGTGGTAACTTTAAGCTGATGGAAAAAATTCTGATCTGCTATATGGTTTGGTCCTTTTATTAGACAAAATATGAGGAAATGTGGTCTGTTTTATAATTTTTTTTCCTAAATGGCTATTTAAATACAGATAACAGTACATAGACAAACTGGAGTAACAGGTTCTGCTACTCTACCCAGCTCACCTGTTACCTGATATATCCACTCAGATGGTAGAACCAGCAATGCAGTGGGGTGTAAAGCAGTTGGAAATTTGCCCAAGCTGACACCCTAAATGCAAGAAGTAGCCTTCAGGTTAAGAATCGTGGCGGTTAGGACAAATCATTAATTGACAAATGCCATTCGTATAATGTCAGAACATAGTGAAAAAAGGAACTCCAGACAAAAGGAGTAGAAGAAAAGTCACCAGAAAGGGACTGTGTAATATGTAAGATTTCCTTTGAAGATCAAGTCAAGTAATGTAATACATCATCCACATCTCAGTTTTATGTATAGAATTCAAATAGTTTGCTTTTACTAAGATTTTCACATTTGGTTTCTAAAAACAAAAAGGGAGAGACAATATTGTTTCATGTGGTACGTGCCAGTTTCTTAAAACAATTCATTTTTCTTATTTCAAAAAGTTTGCTTTGAGGGTAGTTATTCTATGTCCACAAATCAAACTATGCATATATTACACACACACACACACACACACACACACACACACAGATACATACATGTTTTGTAAGATTTATGGTCAATGTTTACATATATTTTAATCATAAACACTGACCATAAATTTCACATTGTATTTTATTAAATTACATATTTATATAATATAAAATATGCCATGTATTTATAAACATTGCCCATAAATCTTAAAATGTACACATTAAAAAATTAAATACTATTATGCAATGTATATGTGTGTATATAAATATTGACCACAAATCTTACAAAATTATATGACTGATGATTACAAACAAAAGTGCTTAGCACCTGTTTTAATAATCTGTGGCTTCTGAGAATCTGCATTTTCCTAAGGCAATTGCTTTAGGCCACCTTACCTAATTTTTATTTTCTGGCAGCTGAAATAAAAGTTTTGTATAGTAATAAAATTACCTGTTCTTCTAGGACTGAGGGAAGTTGAGTGGTGACAGATAAAAACACCAAGAGGTTAGGCTGCTTCTGGGCTTAGAATCCTCAAAGGACTAGTGATGGGAAGATTTCCAATAGGCTTCAGTAGTGGAAAATTAAACTTCTCAGATTCCCCCTTTCCTTCTTACAAAATTATGGCATTATATAGTTTTAAAGTAGCTAATTCATTTCTGGGTTCCTTTTTTGTTTTTGTTTTTTGACCAGGGATTGAACTCATGACTTTGCATTTGCCAAGCAGGCAGTTATGCTGCTGAGCTAAACCCCTGACCCCCACAGGTCCCTTCTTGATCTACATAATTCAAAGCTGCTAGAAATATTTTAAAAGTTGATGTATGTGTGTATACACACACACTAGATATGTACCTATATACATACACACAGTTCCATTGTGAAAAGAGGAAGAGCTACACAATGTTACATAGCAGGACTTTACAGTGCATCATTATCACGATGCTCCTGTTCCTGAAGAAAAAACAAGTAAGTTTCTGGGTGGCATTCAGGTGCAGAAAGAGTTGTGAAAGGCCAGATTTGGGGAACAGTTCTATGCGCTCTGCACTCTGGATCTGAGCGCCTCACTTGGGATACAGGGCAGTGGTTTAGGGGACCACATCCCAGCTCAACTGGGGACCCAGCGGAATTTGTAACCTCCACTGGCTGTCCGGATGGTGAAGGCGTTGCCCTGGGGAAAGGCAAGGGTTCGAATGGTGCTGTGGCTACGGATGGGGGTGCTGAAGGAGCCGCCTTCCTCCAGTTCGTTGGGACTCAGATTCGAGGCGCTGAGGCTGCAATCGGTGCGCAGTCCCCGGAAGGCTCCGTGCAGGTTCTGGGGCCTGCAATCAGCGCCCCCGGGCTCCAGCTGCATCCGGGGCCGCTTGGGATCCCGGTTCTGCAGGGCTTCATCGCAGCGTTGGGAAATCTCACTTAGAATGGCGTCCACTTCAGCACAATCCTGGCCTGCTACACTGACCAGCTCCTCGAGGCTCCTTTTGGCTGTCGCCTTGAGCATTAAGGTTTCTGCTGCTGCCCCAAAATCCCGGGACTGTGTGATCATCAGCTTCTACGAAATATGAGGAAGACAGCCGCCCTGGGGCCAGCCAGCCGGACTCGCCCCGTGTGACGAAGGCCAAAGGAGACCTGAGTGCCTTGTGCACCTCGAGTCCAGTAGGCTTCTACTCTCCCAGACCCCATCGGGCCAACTCTGGCAGCAGGGGTGGGGGTTGGAGGAGACATCACAGCGTCCCACAGGCTGCGCCCCACTTACATCCAGCACCGAGGCCAGGTGCCGGGTCCGGCTGGCGAGTTCTTTGAGCTGCACATTCCGCTCCTTCAGCGAGGCAATCTCCTCCTGTTTCTGGGTTAGTGTCACGTGCAGCTGCAAGAGGAGACCCCAACAAAGATAGGCCACCGAGCTCGAGTGGTCTGCATGAATTAAACCCCAGACCCTGGGATCTCTTCAGGAATTGAGGCCCCAGGGTCATTTACACTCCTGAGAATAATTAATTTATTTGATTTTTAAAAAACAAAGTACTTGGATTTAAAGTAGATCTCAGTGTGTAGGCAGTGGTGAAGAGTAGTTCCCTGAGCAACAGGCAGATCGGGGTTTTGCCTCTGAAGTCCCACCACCCACATAACTCAGATAAGTTATCTGTAAATCAGGACTGGGAAGAGTATCTAGCTCAGGAGCGTATTAAATAAAAGGAGAAAATATAATACCTTGACAAACCCAGAGCCAGGCACATAAGTCTTCAATAAATATTGTCAGTCCTATTTAAAATCTGGTGATAGGGGCTGGGGATTTAGCTCAGTGGCATAAGTACCTGCCTTGCAAGCGTGTGGTCTGTGGTCGTAAGTTCCATCCCTGGTACCGGTAAAAATACAATAAATAAATAAAATCTGGTGATGTAGCATTATTTCCACCTAGCGAATCTGACACAGATGGAACTGCTGGAGCAGTAACAGCTACATAAACAACTACCAGCCATTCCACTAATCAGAAGCCCAAAGGAGGTATCTTCCTTCCATCCTAAGCTCCAGACCCTGTCCCCACCAGTGTCCTACTTGGTTATTCTCCACGAGAGCGTCCCCCAGCGCCCTCTGATTCTGGTCGGCCACCTCCTTCCAGTACTGCTCCAGAGGCAGAGGTGGCTCCTCTGGAGGGCATAGTGGTGGCGACTGCAGGGTCTGCGGGTCTAACGGTGGAGGGGAGAAGCCGGGATCAAAAGGCGATATGTCGTCATCACAAGGAGAGAAGGGGAAGTCACTGTCGACCAGGGGAGGTGACATCAAAGAGGATGAGTCTGGTGAAAGAGCAAGGGCTGGATTTGCTGCCTCGGACTCATGCCCAGCTAGCTATAGGGGCAAAATGCCGCAACGGGTGCAGTGGCTTATGTCAAGATGTATTCACTTCGGTGAAGTATGGATGGCGCCCTGCACTCTGCAAAACCTACCACTGTCAGGCCCTTCCTCATCCCTGTACAAACAAAGCAGGCAGGCCACAGACACCTGCTAAGTTAACTTCAGCTGAAATCCGAAATCCTGGCTGGGCCCAAAAGTCATACAATGCCTTCCCTCCTCTGCACACTCTTATCACTCAACCTCTCCCTAGTCACATCACTAATATCTCTAGATCCCTCTCCCAGAACACACAGGCAAACCAAAAAAGCACTGGAGATTGGAGGGACTACATATGGACTAGCTTGCCCTTTGGTGAGAGTCTAGCGGGTCATTGACAGGTGGCTGTGTTTACCACCTTCACTACCATGAAATATGAACGAGTCAGATTCAAGAGTGGGAGACAATCCCGCGTCCCGTTATTTAACTGCAAGGAGACTGCACTTGCCTGCGATGAGATCATCCACTGTGTCTCTGAAATTCTGCAGATCGAAGTCTGCGTCTGTCTGCAAGGAATGATCCTAAAATAAACCAGGGGTGTAGAAACAGTCAACATCATGGCTCCTCCGCCACCAGTCTTAGGTGGATAGGAATCCTCCCAGTTTCTGCCGAGGGTCTGCACTCACTTGCGTTCGCAGCCAAGTCGCGTACCTGAAAATCCGTGCCCCATCCTGCGCAAGGACCCCAGCGGTTTGCACTGTGCTGCTGGGAAGCCAGACACGGTCCGCTAGGTGGCAGTCCGCGGATAGTTCGAAGCGCGCAAACTGCACAACAGTCCTTCAGTCCTTCTGCGCTGGAGGAGCCCTCCCCGCGTAGTGACTCGCACAGATAACCAGGTCTTCGGTCGCAGTGTTTGCGCACCCGCGAACCTCAACTCCAACTTACCCCCGACTAGTCAAGAAGTCACTGCTCTAAGCTCAGAGGTCTCGGCTTGAGTATCTGAGCACCAGTCTTTCCTCCTAAGACCTAACTGCGTGCAGAGTCCTCCATCCAACGTGATAACTTGAAACCCTGCTTTCCAAAAAGGCTGACACTGATAACCACTCACACACATCTCTAGGAAGGAAAGGGAAGGGTGGGCTATAATTGAAGGTACCAAGGATGCTATGGAAATTGCTTCTGTTCACCAAGAAGCACACGGGGTGGGGGGCATCTCTATTAGCCTACTCTTCCCTTTCAGCTGGATGCACCTCCAACTTCTCAACCTGGACACTTTCTTGGCCTCTCATCTGGGAGTGCGAGGGGAAAGGAGACTGTAAAGGCTGGAGGATAAACATCTATCTATTCCCTTCATTCATAAGCATTTCAAGCTGACAAAATTTTCTTTCTTAGTTTCTCAGTTAATCCACACACCAGTATGGGAAGCATGTAGGGCCCAAGAAATGCTCAGAGAGGTTGAGTTATTTACAATCACCCAGCTCCTGCCCTTGAATGCTAGTGCTTATTTCACTCTGCTTTCCTCTACCCTCTCATTACCTCTCTTGTTTCGGAATGCCTGGCTTCCACTAAAGAAGGCACTAGAAAGGACAAAGTAGTTTCCATGGCCATGGTTGGACAGGGGTTGCATTGATGGGCCATTTAGCAATATCTGTTCCACAGATTCCACTCTTGATTCCTGCCTTTGTGTTAAATCTGCTGATCTTCACAAAGCCTTTCTTTACTAGTTACATATTGTGGACTTATTCTAACATTAGTTTCAAATTATTGGTTTCCATCAGGGGAGAAAGATTCAAGGCCAGAAGCCTGAGTACCAGATGGACCCTGAAGCTATACAGAAAGGGAAAGAAACTAAGAGGATTGAGGACTCCAGGCAAATCCCAAAGCACCTGTTTAGCGAGTCAGAAATGCCACTCATTCTTCAAAGGGCTGAAAAATCTCTACTTCAGTCCAGAATTGAGAACAGTCCTCACTATGGGGAGACTAGAACTCAGCTCAGGAACTGGGGCCCAGAACATGCTTCCTCCTCACCATTGCTATTGTAGTTATGGTAGGGCTTTTACCACACTGGACCACAAAACACTTCTAATGCAGTCATTCTCTGTCCACTTTCCCCAGCAAAAAAAGGGCTGGGAAATATGACCCAAGGTTGCAAGGATCAGAGTTATTAGAGGTCACTTTTCCACTGTCCTAGCTGTCTTTCCTGGTGGAAATCCTGGATCTTTTTGTCCATCTGGTATGACTGCTATCCTTGAAATTTTGAATCCTGCCTTCTCAGTTAGATAAATCTGACATTTCTCCAATTAAGAAAAAAAAAACTACACAGAACACAGTGTCAATTTTAAATTCTGTATGCTTAAGTGAAATATTCAACAAGAGTCTACTTGGCATTTGTTACTTGCAAAATAAACATGTTGGGGGTAAGGGAGTGACTTAGGATCTGGCTCAGGTGAAAGATACTCAGACTTTTCTAATTGAGCATTTAGATCTAAGAGAAGTAAAAGGCCTCTGTTGAGCAATGGCCAATCCCTCCTCCTGCTTTAACAATGTCTGCCTTCAGTGGCTCCCTACCCCGAGTCACTCTGAGCTCTTTCCCAAGGTTCTGAGAGGCCCTTCACGGAGGACTATGACTAGCTTTGCTCTACCACCATTCCCTGATCTGGGAGGTGGTTACACCTAGGGACTTCTCTCCTGGGCCTGTCCCAGTCCCAGTATCGGGAAGCTGGACAGTTCCTCTTCCTGTGGAGAAAGAGCTGCCTAAGACCACCTGTGCTTCTGGGTACTCGAATCAGGTTTCTCACCTCCCAGACAATTCGGAGACATTTAGTACTTTGCCTGGAAGGTATAAGGCCCAGCAAGTGGTAGAACTGGGAAGGAAGAAGACAGGTTTAGGAGGAAAGAAAAAAAGTCCAGCGCCTGTTTGCTCGGTGATGGTAAGTCACCAGACTTTTGGTGAGAGAGAAGAGGCAGTTTTAGGAGTGTCCAACTGCTGAAGTGCCATCACTGCAGAGAGAAATGTTTTCTGTTGGGTTCTTCTCAAGTCCTTTGTCTTTTTCCCACTTCTCTCAAATAAAAATTCCTTCCTACTAAGCTAAACCCCCACTCTTTATTTTTTTAAATTTGAGACAGGGTCTCACTAAATTGCCCAGGCTGGCTCTTTCTCCAAAGGAAGAAAACTTGTCCGGCTTCCTGATAGCAGGTACTGGGACAGGCCACAGTAAAGTCACTAGGTATAATTTGAACTTGCAGTCAGTTACCTCAGCCTTCCAGGATGCTGGGATTACAAGCGAGAGCAACTTGGCTGTTATTCATCGACTTCCAGGCTCCAATACCCAGGGACTGAAAATGGCTAGTGAATGGCCAGGACCAGGGTGTTGGGAGGACAGGGCATGCGTCTTATTCGAAGATATCCAACACACAACTTCGCTGGCTCCCATCCACCTGCTGCCTCAACGCCAAATTTCCGTGGGGCCTCATCACAGCTCCGGGATATAGATGGGAAGCCCTACAACCCAGAAGAATTAGTTCCGGAAATGCCGTCTTCATAACATACTAGGAGGAGGAAGCCAGTTTCTGAGAGGTTCATCTGCACGCAGCCTCCCCCCGCCCCCCACTCTGAATGTTCCTGTGCTCCCGGCCTGGAACCTTTGCGGAAAGAAACCCACCACTTCAGAGCCACGTTTGTGTGAGGAAAAGGCCTCGAGGCTCCGGGGGAAAGGGAGGTACCTGGGAGGTGGCCGGGTCACCAATAGGCGGCGCGTCGGGCCGGAGGAGCGAGGAGCAGTCCGCGAGGTCCTGCAGGTCTATAGTGGTGAGGGCTGCGCGGGGAGACCGGGAGACAAGCGCCCAGCGCACCCTCAGGCTCTCCGCCGGGCAGTCCGGGGGAGCCCTCGCCAGGACGTCGGAGCCCAGGGAGAGAAGCGCTGAGCTGCGCGCGCTGCACCTACCAGCGCGGGGACTCTGAGGGGTCGTGCAGGTGCCTCGGGGCTCACCTGGCAGCTCAGGGGGATCCGCGTCCGAGGGATCCTCGTACACCGACACCGTGCTGCTGACGCCACATCCAGAAAAAAACTTCCGCGGAGGAGCGAACTAACCAAGCACACAAGTGGGCGCAGGCGATCAGGTCTCGGGCACGCATCTGGCAAACCCCGCAGGACCCAGCCAGCGGCCCCACCTTCCTCTCCTGCTTGCCCTGCGCGCCCAGGGGCCGGCCCGGCAGCTGGAGCATCCTGTTGGGACAGATGCTGTCGAAGGCCCGGCGTCCCGCCGCGCTGCCCCCGCCCGCCTGCATCCTGTCTCCCTGCAGAGGCGGCGGCCCTGGCTGGGAAGGTCGCCCACACCCTGCGCTCCCTCTGCCTGCTGGCTCCGAAGTCCGTCTGGAGTCGCGGAAGGCATGTGGCCTGGAGGAGCAGAGAGAGGGGGAGGAAAGGGAGGCTCAGAGGATCGCGCGGGAGGGGCGGCTCGCGCCTGAGCGCCAGAGGTGGCGCCTTCAGCCGCTGACAATCTGCTTGCAGGCGAAGGCGTTAACCCAACCTGGCAACCGGCTTCCCCAGGGAGCCGCGAGCGCGGGGCCAGGGCCCGCCAGCGCCCTTTCGCCGGCGTTGGCGCCTCCGCATCCCGGCCGCGCCAGGCTGAGAGGGAAAGAACCAGAGTCGGGCCGGTCCCACTGGTCCCTAGCACCGGGCATTGCCTCGAGGCTTAAAACAGCGGAAAGGAAAAGTTAAAGATTATTTCCTTTTCTTCCTATTCCAACAAGGTGCAAAGTAAACGTGGGTGACATGGCTCGCCAAAGCCACACTCAAGCTCTGCCCTGTCTCACAAAATTCGGTAAGGATGTGGAATTCCTGCAGGGATTCCCTGGACCAGCCTTCAGATTACAGAAACCAGTCCCCTAAACCTGGGCAGTATTCTAGGCCTTCGCCCAATGCCTTTCACTTGCTCTCTCTGTCTAATGCTCAGCCCTGACAGTGGAGTCTAAGCACACCATTTTAAAAAGAAGAAAAAGTAATATCTACCTCTTCCCTGTTGGAAAATTCCACAGTGGACTGCCCCAAATCCCCTAAATGTCTGTCCCGATGGCCTTAGCCGCCATCCTGGCGTTTGGCTGCTCTCTTTACAATAGCCAGTCTTAGCCTGCTATGCCAGTCTGTTTCCTTCCCAAACTAGACTCTTCGTCCAAGAAGGGGCATCTTCAAGATGCTGTGGAACACGAAGCATTTCCCAGAAAGGTACATCTTTGGGCAAGCTGACCTCTCAGGACCATGCAGAGCCATCTAGTCTGAAGTCATCTAAAACCAAAGTCTTTGTGCACCTTCCTATGGGATCCTTTATTTTTGCTTTATACCTTCTAAATAGAATGAAAAATTCTCTTTTAAACTGTCACAATCCTCTTTTATTTGCATCCATTATCTGAGTCAAAAAACAACATAAGCCTAACAATGGTGGAAGATAAACAATAGTTGACTGGCCTGGACTTGAAGAACTCTGAGCCTTCTGTAGATGCAGGAACTGAGTAAAGGTTAAGAAATCAGCCCATTACTATTGATATATTGTCAATGGTGAAGGGTCCTGCCTTAGAGTCAGACACCACCAGATCTTTGAGTCCCAGGTTTTTAGGAAAATCAGAAATAGAGACCTCAACAGAGTTACCATGAAGATAAGTGGGCTTATTCATGTAAACTGTTACTTGCTACGGACAAATTATATTGGTTTTTTAAAGCCACCTTTCAGTTATATTTCCAGCTTCTCATAGTCTGTCCCTCACTGTGTCCCTGGTTCTTCTGGTTCCTACGAAGCTCAGTCACAGCCTGTCCACTCATATCTTTGTCCGCTTTTCTAGTCTGTAAAATGAGTAGGGAAATTTTGACCGAGGCCTGGTGAGAACTCTATACATGGAGAACATTGCAGATTTTCTAGCACAGGCTCATTTTTCAAATATTTATCAGTAAACTACAAATTGGGATAGACAAATATAGGCACTTTTATCAAATCCCTTGTGGTAACAGGAACTGTAATAGCTTTATGACATGATTTCTAATCTGGATGATTCTGCAATCACTCATGAAGAGCTTAGGTGAGAAAAGGATGGGTTTTAGGGATTTGGCTAAGTGATAGATTTCTTTTGTTGAAGGATCACATGCTTGCAGCCAATCCGAGGATTCCATACTGTATGGGACTTAGGACTGGTGGTAGGGTCTTCCTTTTTCACCATCAAGGAACAACTTTCCCTCAAATACAGTATGGTATGTTGGGGGGGTCACACTTCCTTCTTCTTGACCCAAGGCAAACCTTTCTGAAGATCTTAGCATGTCTTTGTCCAGAGAGAAAGGGTCCTAGGAACCTAGAGTAGGGTACGCAGGCTCTGGAAAGCACTTGGGGGATGCTTGTAGAAAGAGATGCCAAGAAGTATCTAGAAATTAGATGTTTTGCTTTTTGTCATACAATTCATTTATTCTAAATACAGTGGCATGAATGGCATTTTAAAAAAAAATTTTTTTCAGCCTGGAAAGGTAACTAGTGGTACTTGGGAGAGATAGGAGAACCGCAAGTTCAAGAGCAGCACCAGCAATTTAGCAAGACTATGTGTCAAAAAAAGACTGAAGATGTAGTACAGTGGTAGGGCACTTGCCTTGCATGCAGATCCAGGCCCTGGTACAAAACAAATACCATTTTAAAGGGGGCCAAGGGTTTAGCTCAGTGGCGCAGGCGCTTGCTTGGAAAGCACAGGGTCATGATTTCAATTCCTAGTACACCCACCCAAAATTTTTTTAAAAAATAAGAAGTTGGGCCAGGGATTCAGCTCAGAGGGTCTAGCACTTGCCTGGTAAGTGTGAGGTCATGAGTTCTATCCCCAGTACCAATAAGTTAATAGTCAACACAGACATTTGAAGAAAATAAAGTACACTGAACTGTATTATTCATCTCCAGTTACCATTTCTATTTGCTTTATCTATTTCTTTGCCTTTTTTTTCCACCCTGCATTAACTCTCCTTATTGTGTAGGCTACCCCTAGCCTTTTCTTCTTGAGTACTTATGTGCTAGGATCTGTGTTGGCAAAATTAATGGAACATCTCATTAGAGTCATAACTCTATCAAGTAGGTATGACTATTGATGGTTATTCCCATTTTTTACAAAGCAGATGTGGCCCTGGACTTCCCTGAAGTCACCTAGCAAATTTACTTCAGAGCTTAATAGTGTATAAAATCCCATATTTTTTTTACTATCCCATATTTAAGCTTAACTTCATTTAAACTTCACAGCTCTGGTGTCAGTTGTACAGCTTGGAGATATTAAGAAATTTTCTGCAAGTGTTGGAGCTGAGACTCAGGGACTACAGCATATTCATGATGATGAGATTGAATGTAACAATTACAGAGCCACAGAAATCTAGCAAGTCTGCCTAATTACCAAGCCCAGTTCTCCCATCTGTAAAATGACTAGAAACAAGGGTAGTCTCTTATGAATAAAGGGCACTGAGTAAACAATTTGTGAGCCATCAAATCTATAAATGAAAGTTTAGTAGTGTGACTAAGGGTGGAAGTCTGAGCACCTGCTGTAAGTTCTCTGTGTCCCAGTGTCATCTTTCTAAAACTCACACTGCTTCATAGAAAGATCATAGAAAGCTTCATGAAAGATCAAAATAATGAAGCTGAACACAGTGCGTGGTATGCTGTAAGGACTCAAAACAGTCTTTATTACTGTTATGCCATTGTTATTCTTCAGCTCGTATGTAGCAACATAAACTGAACCAAATGATTGTTGGGCTCCACTTGAATTGGCTCCAACACTCTGCAACACCATTCTTTCTGACATATGCCAGGCACACATGAGACTCTATATTAGAAATAGCTCCTGCTTCACTCTTTGCTAGTGTGCCTCCACATGGTCCCCCATGCTTTGCAGCGCCACATCACCTGCAATGGCAAATGTAGGCAGTGGCTCCTTTGGACAATCACAGGCTGCTGTGCATTTTAATCTGCCTCATACCCCACCATACCCTCTGAATCCCTAGTGATACAGTTCTCAGCCTCAGAGGATCCTGACTTGTCTTATGACTGGAACCCCAGCATCCAGAATCATGCCCAACTGGTCTCAGGGATTCTAACAGCTTGTTTTTTGAGGAAAGGCAGCTCCTCCTGTTCTCCAACAAAATAAACTGGATTCTGCTGAGGTATGCTATCTATAACCTGCAAGATGCAAGCTGGAGTCCCTCTTTGGATAAATACTGTACTCTTCTGAAGCAATGGGAGGAGTCCATTCCCAGCCAGAAAAAAAGGAGCCCAAAGTCTGCTTTATTTCAAGCTAGGGGACAAGCTGCACTTCTTGCAGATCTGGAGGGGCAGAATGTGAGTCAGGGAAGTACTGTTTATGGCTACTAGCAGCTGCAGCTTGCGCAGGCAGTCTTGCAGCGCCGCCTCGGGGTGCTTGCCCAGGCGCAGGTCCACTGGGCACGGGACCTGGAGCATTTGGTCAGCCAGCGCCAAGCAGCAGATGGCCAGGAGAGAGGGGACATAGCTGGTGAAGGCGTAGTCAGCCAGGCTCAGCTCCGCTACTCCCCGAGCCAAGATTTGTGCTTCCAGAGCTTCAGAGACCTCAACTTGCCCAGCCTCCACACGCTCTTGAGTGAAATGCTCCAAGAAGAAGCTGATGGTGGGTGCACCCAGGCTGAAGTGCAACTTGTGCAGCACGATACACTCGAGGTTGCAGAGTTGCTGCCGGGAGAAAGCACCGCAGCACAGAGCCAGGAGCTGTTTCACACGCGGTGGGTGAACCTCCACCTGCAATAGAGGTGCCCTCAACACCACCCCCAAGGTTTCCAGGGTTCGACCTCCCACCCCAGCCTGAAACCTAGGAGAACACTGGCACTCCTCCTCATCCCTTGCAGATACAGGGACTTCACTTGTTCTCCACTTGCAGTTAAATCACCTGGTGTACACATCCAGTAAAGCTTCTCTAACTACAGTGTGACTAAGAAAAAAGGTTTGAGAAATTTAAATTTTTTTCTCTCACTCCCCCGGAATACAAACGCCACGAAGTTGTAGGGTCAGGGCCCAGCGTGGTGGCATAGTCTCTAATCCCAACACTGGGAAGGCTGAAGCAGGAGGATCGCCACGATTTCGAGGCCATCCTGGGCTAACAGTCAGAGGCCAACCTGAACTACATAGTGAGACTGCCAAAAAAAAAAAAAAAAAAAAAAAAAACACCAAACAAAAAAAGGAGAGACTTACCATAGCCTATTTCTTTAGGGACCCAGTGAAAGCACTGTTAAGACTGTAGATTTGCAAGCCTCTGACAAAATAAGTTTGAGGAACCCAATAGTGAATCGTGTGCGCTGGGGAGGCGGGCCGCCACAAAGGAAGACAGTTTAGCTGCACCTCTGCTCCTGACACTTCGTGAAGGTACCTGTTTGCAAGCGATGAGTAGGGCGGTGACTCCGAGCAGCTGGAAGCAGTCTGCAGCCACAGGCGTAGTGGTAAGGAAGCGATCCAGAGTGTTCACTGTCAGGCACAGCGACTCGAAGGACAGCCCGAACTGGCGGTGCACGGGAATCAGCCAGCTGAGCAGCTTACAGCGGGATTCCGCAGTCACCTGCCGAGAGAGGAAGGGAGCTGCCGAGAGGAAGGGCCCAAAAGACCCAGAGAGCATCCTCGGGAAGAAAGCAGGAAAATGCTAAACGCACTGGAAACTGGGAATAATGTGGACAACACTGCTTCTCAAAGACCGCTGGCCTGATGGCAAGCTGGGGTGCCTGCCAAGCGCCCGGTGCACGTTACCTTTTTACCTCGAGTAATCCTCTCAGCAATTCAGTGGAGGTTGGGGGCGGGGTAGTCTAATTTGCAGTTTAAGAAACAGTTTAGGATTGTTAAATGACCAGCCCGAGATACGCGAGAGCTCGGACTCAACCAGGACACTAACTTCTCTGCACCCCACCGTCTGTCTCAGGTCAGGACACTTAGGCGCTGTCCGCCCCACTGTGCAGTGCCTTCTGGAAAGCGAGGCCAGAGACCGAGCCCTCGAAAGCCCTCGTTGCTCTCTAACGGGGGCGGGAACTGGGCTGCACCGGCGAGGGCGGCGGGAAGGGCGGAGAACCCGGGAGAGGACTAGGGGCGGCGGCGGGGAGCTGGCGCCTCACTTGCGGCTGCCGCGCCAGCGACTCCAGTGGGTGGAAGTGGCTCTCCTGAGCCTTGCGGAAGGCATAGCAGCTCTGTCCGTAGTCGCGGAAGGTCTGTAGCTCGAGTGGTGCCAACAGTTGGTCCGGACTGAGAAGGGGACTGGAGCCCCGCGCCGCCGCCGACGCCACGGGGCTGTCTGCGCCGTCCGAGCCCGAGCCGGGGGACTCGAACAGGTCGCAAACGCCTGAGTCACCGGGGAGCAGGCACGGGTTCAGGGGCCGCAGCGGCTCCTTCCTCCGCAGGCGCGGGCGTCGGCTCTTCTTCACCGGGGCCCGAAGCTTCTGGTCGTTGTCGTCCCGCCTTTCTGACCAGGCCGCGGGGCTCGCGGGGCTGGCGGCGCAGGGGGTCACCATGACGCAGCCGAAGGGGCTGCTCCACCACCGCAACGCCCCGGGCGCGCCGAGCCGCAAACGTGCGCACCACGAGAGTGCGAGGGAGCCCCGCTCCGCCGCCAGGCCCTGGCTAAGTACTCCGCCTGCCCCGCCCCTCTGCCCCGTCCTCGGCCTCTCACTGGCTGAGCCCAGAGCGGCACGGGAGCCGCGATTTCCCGGGTGAAGGGGCCTCCCCTTCTCCGCCAGAAGCTCTTCTGTCCGCCACGGAAGGAGGAGCTACAACCCGCCGCGCACCCGCGCGCGTTCTGCGTTACCCCGGCAACCCGAGCCCGTGGAGCTGCGCGAGCTGGGCGCTCAGGGTGGGTCGGAGCTGGGCCACGGCCCAGCCAGGTGAGCTGGGGCCCAAATCAGGGGTTCTGCTGCAGCCGGAAAAAAAGATTCTCCCTTGTGGCGTCCCCCCCCCCCCCCCCCCCCCGGCTAGGTGGTTTCGACGCGTGCGACCACCTTCTATGCCGGCAGTGACCCAGGTCGGTACTTTTGTAAAGTGCGATTCTGGACGAAAGTCGGGCTAGAATTTTGCCAGCCTGGTTTTCTCCTAGGACCCGTACAAAACAGTGTGAATTCATTTGCTTCGGTCAGTACTCTTCCGCGAGCCTGGGGCAGAGCCTTAGTGTAGTCCTCCAGTGCTGCTGTGTAGGTACAAGCTTCCCTACTCCCAGGCATTGGTGATTGTTATACAAACAGAAAACTTCTCAATCCTACCCCACACAAGTCCACAGTCCTTAACGCAGTACTTTCCTCAGCACTTTTAACCCCAAGCCAAACAAACCATTTAACAGTATAACATTGTGGCAGGATTGCATTTTTAGTTTTACCAAATTGCTCACAGCCTATTCTTTTTTAGGTCATTAGCTTCTAACCCTCTGCCCCGGGCAGCCCAATACTTCCTTGGTTGTTCCCTGTATCTGCAGGAGCAGCAACTTGCGGAAGGGGGTAGAAAGAATAGGTGTGACCCCAGGCAGGAGAGACTGCCTGGCACTTTCTCCAAGGCTGTCCTGATCTTGTCCACAGATTTCTGTCGGTGTAGAGCTAGCTGAGTCCTCCCCAGCTAAGTGAACCTTCCTAAGGGTCTCTTAAAGATAAGAGAAGAGGCATTTGGGGCACAATGAAGATCTAAGGAATCTGGGATTTCCCAGAGGCCATAAACCAAGCTATCTTCAGACTGAACTTTTCAGGGATACTCCAGCGAGGTTACTAAGTGCCACACAGAACAATTTCAGCCATCCTCACCTCATTTCAGAAGAAAGCTGACAAGTGCATTTAGTCAAAGAGTGAATTTCTGCCCCTAGAAATTTAGAGAGGGTGGGGTGATGTCTGCTAAAATGCAGGTGAAACAAAAGGAATAGATTTCAGTGCTGGCTACTGTTACTCCTATTTCTGTAATTCTGAGCAGCTCTGTTCTCCCAGCATGTATAGTGTCATCTGTAACATGGGAGAGTTGCTAAGAATCACCTGGAAGGATTTTCAAAACACAGGCACCTGGCCTCTGTGTTTCCTCTTAGGGTTTTGTTGGGGAATATTATAGGAAGAATAATTGAATCTGTAGAGAGGGGTGAGATATCTGATTCCTTTCAGAAACACTTTCCCGGTAAAGAGAAAGAATCCAGGAATTATGATTCCCTACTGGCCCAGAGGGCTGGGTGGTATAGAGGAAAGAGCATGAAGTCCTATCTGTTGGTTGTCTTGGGCAAGACATTATTCAGTCCCCATTTCTTTGTCTGTTAAATGTTAATATTTTGTTTGCCTTCGGGATCAAGTGAAATATGTATGAAAATTCAGTCTTTTTTTTTTTTTTTTGGTAACATTTGGAATTGAACCAAGGGCCATTGCACTGAGCAATGGACCCTTGATTCGTGAACTCAGTTAATTCCTGAGGGCTGGTTGTAACTCACATTGTCAGTTGAAGGCCCAGGCTTCTCTACAGAGCCTTCAGAGTCTCTGCTGTGTACAGACAGAAACCACTGTAGATCTCTTTCAGACACTGGCCCAGGATTTTACAACTCTGTACAAGAAAAGATGTTGTAATGTTCTTTCCAGAAGTCTTTACGGGTTAAATCTGTGTCTAACACCATCTGGATACAAGTGGCTGGCAATTAAGTCATAGTTCAAAACTTTGGTCGTCAGCTAAAATTTAAATTCTGGTCATAAACCAAATTGTCTATCTGTCAGAGTGGTCATAATTTGAGGGTTCAGTGTATATCCCCTTCTCAACTCCCCTGTTTTGGAGAAAGCTTCTAGTTTAGCTGCAGAATTAGATTCAAACTTGCAATCAGTCCACTGTCCACTCGCCTCAGCTTCCCAGAAATCTGAGATTACAGGCATGTACAACACACTAGCTTAAATTCGTTCTTGACTCTAAAGTGTACATTGGTAAGTCATCAATATTATTACACTGGAGATATTTTGAAAAGCAGTACCATCATTTGATCCACTTGTGGATGTGACTTTCATTTCACCATACCAAAAATACTCAGTTCTCCAATAGGGTTTGCTTTAGAGCCTAATCCAAGAGGTGCTGCCTGAGTTTTAGCTCCAAGGATCTATCCTTCAGTATTTGTGAATCCCCCTGCATGGGCCCCACCCTCAAGCAGTTGACACAGGTGGGGAAAACAAAGAACCACTTGTTGCAGTTAATTGGGGCACCTTGGTTCACGAACTTAATTCTTTCCATGATTTTGGTTGTCGACTGAATTGAATGAGAACCAAATCAGATTTTCCCATAAGGTCAACATTGACCCTAATCATTAAATTTGATTTGATTTTCATCCAATTTGGTTTGTGATCAGACACTTGGAAAGAATTGTTTGTGAACTAAGATGCCACTGTATTTAAATTATTGAGGTATGAGAAAAGTGATGCTAGAGGATCTTCTGTGTTTAGGGTTGCAGAGAAAATGCAGGCTATCATTTAAATTTGAATGGCAGACAGTTTTTTTAGCATAATGTATTGATTCAGTAGCAAGCTCAGGCCCTTCCTTGTAGGCTACATTAAATGTTTAGACTCTCTGAAGCCATTGAAGGAGGAGAGTTGCCATGTCTCTTATTTCAAAGATTACTTTGATTGGTATGAGTTGGAGAGGACAAGGTTGAAGGCCAGTTAGCTGCAATTCAAGCAAGACATGATAGTAGGAAATGATGATGGAGATAAAAGAGGCTAAAGATATTTGGGAAATGAATGAAAAGGGGGGCCTTAATGTAGAAAGTAAGGAAGAATCCAAGAGGACCCCATATGTAATTTATGCTCCTGAGCAAATGAGTGGATGGTGATTAAAATGATGAAGCCTCCTTAGAGTAGGTAAGGTTTAAAAAATACTGTGCATGTTTCCATTCAGTTGTCTTTAAAGCAGAACTCAGTCAGAATCTATGAATTAAAGGACAACGGCAGAGTGAGTATCAGGCTAAGATCCCAGTGTGCAGAAGTACTTTTCTGGCCCATAAAACCAAATCATTAGTCTCCTATATTGCATAGAGCTGAGGTTCAGCTGGTTTCAGTGATAATTATGCTGCTGTGCTTGCTATCTCTTAGTTCTTACCAGTGTCTACTTCTGATTCAGACCCTGGAAGGTCCAGGCTGCCACAGGAAAACTTCCAGCCCAAGTTGATGGCATTCAGCACCTAAATGTGGCAAAGAGACTTGTATTTTACTAGTGTCCCTTCAAATAGTAGAGCTGTCCATGTAGACTCGAGTATCAGAAAGGAATGACTCTCCTGGCCCTGTGTGTATAACATTTAGTACACAGGCATTCAATTAACAAATCAAGGTGTTGTTAACCTATCAGATTGCTTTGGGGTGTTATGTTAAGCTATTATCAGTGCAGGAGGAGTAAAATGACCTGAAGATTTAGGTCTTTTGTGGTGTCATTTGCTAGAAAAAGATTGCTTTTCAGAAAAGAAACCAGAATAAAGGAGATATTTTTAATTTGCAGGAAGGAACTATGCCTTATATATGTCCCTTCCAGGTATGGAGGGATCCAAGAAATTTGCACATCAATAGCGTTAAAGTGATGTGGTTCAGATTTTGTGATTCTCTTAGAATAGAAAAATATGACACAAAAGCAGGAGACTGTTAAAAAGAAAGACTGGTGTCTTAGTTACTTTCTTCATTGTTGAGACAAAATATCTAGCACCTCAAATTAAAGGAGAAAAGGTTTATTTAGCTCACAGTTTGTAGAGGTTTTATCCTATAATTGATTGGTTCCAAACCAGGGTGACACATGGCAGAGGAGCAACAGTTTATGATGTTGGAAGACAGCAAAAGTGACTGTGGGGCTGGGAGAGCAGAGACAAGACTCTTTCTGCCCAGTTATTTTATCCAAACCGATGTGACTAGGGTGGTGCCAATCCAGTCAGTGGACTGATCCAGCAATCACCCACCTTTAATCCCAGCACTGAACCAGGAATCAATCACAAACTCTAGATTCAGCTAACTACAAAAAAGCCCCACCTAGAAGTTTATGAGGCTTTAGAGAGCATTTGGGCACAAACCGTAACAACTGGTAATGACTGAAAATATAGGTCATATATAGCATCCACAATGTTTTGGACTCTCCAATAATAGAGGCAAGAAGAAAAGATTAATAAGTTTTATGATGTACAGTGCCTGTCTGGCAAGCACAGTGTCTTCCTAGCACCAAGTAGATTCCTAGCACCAAATAAATAAATAAATTTTATGATGAAAAATGTATTTACTGGGAAATTTGGAAAAATACTTTAACTAATATCATTCACACAAATCTAATTTTCTTAAAATATTAGTGCTCCTATGCATAATAAGAAAAAAAAGTGACAATATAAGAGAAAAATTAGTAAATATTTGAGTAGATAGTTCCTAAGAACAATGTGTCTTATATTAAAAGATGTTCAAACTGTCTCATAATAAGAAAAGTGCAAATTAAAATTATGAGATGTTTGTACTTAATTTGAAAATAGGATGTAGTGAAATAGGACCTCAATATGTGGTTGGTAAGGTATAAATTGGTACAACCATTTGGAAGACAGTTTATCAAGATCTTTAAATGTTTAAAATGCACAGTTTTGCTGGGTATGGTGGAATATGCCTATAATCCCAGCATTTGGGTGGCTGCGGCAGGAGGATCACCATGAGTTCAAGGCCAGCCTGGGCTATATAGTGAGTTCAAGCCTGCACTATAAGGTAAGACCCTGTCTCAGAAAACAAATAAAAAATGCATAGTCTTTAACTCAGAAATTTTTCTCCTAGATAATTCCTCTATTTTAGTGCAAAATGATTGTCTTAGTTACTTGTCTTAGAAACAATATTTCTTGTTGCTGAGAGAC